TATTTAACGCGCATCTTGTCAGTAAAGCCGGTTCTGTAATCAGCGGTAAATCTCCATCACCTGCGGGCTTTCACATGGAGCAGCATTAACTACACAGAGCCGTTGTTCACTGACAAGCTGCGCAAAACCACGATCATATTTTGCGCAGCTTGTCAGTGAACAACGGCTCTGTGTAGTTAATGCTGCTCCATGTGAAAGCCCGCAGGTGATGGAGATTTACCGCTGATTAAAGAACCGGCTTTACTGACAAGATGCGCGTTAAATATCGCATGCGATTTATCGTGCAGCCCTACTTTGGAGGAACATTTAATTGTTCATCTATCAATCATCATTGTATTGCATTGCATTACATCTTTTGATCATTAAACTAAGCATTTGAATATCATCCCACTGAGACATATTATTGGAGATATAGAGTGACGACCGATATTTACATTATTTAATGCAAGTATCTGCTATACTGTTATAAAGATCTCACTGATTTATATTACTAAAATATCAGCATCTGCAGGTGTTTTTTTCCTACATATTCTTAATGCATCTTACTATAAGTGTCATAAAAGCCTGACGTGTCAAATATTATATAAAACAAACCACATGTGCATTTTTTTTTTCTTTTATATTTTGTCTAAAGATTCGATAAAGAGTTCCATTTAAAAAAAAAATTATTCTTCTGAGTGTTGTTTCGTATATCAGGGTTAATGGCAGGCTGACCCATGATGCTGGTAGGAGATACAAGTGACTAATTTGTTGTCGTGTAAACTAGGATATAATAATCACAGAGCAGACCATCATTCTGGAGTGTGACAGCTGCAAACACTGGTCGTTTAGAGTCACTGGGATACTGTGATGTAGCAGCAAACTGATGATTACAAAGTAATAAAAAGACGTTAGGTTTCTGACTTGTGTCATAATAAGCTGAATAACTCCATCATTAACATCAGCAGCACTAATCATCAACAAGCAGCTTGTTCAGAAAAATTAATTACAGCTTGGTGCATGTCAATAGCCCAGTAATGAACTCCTAACGTAAAGATATTCCTGTAGTCTGGTGTTCATAATAACAGAATACACGATAGTGTAATGGAGTTTTTAACTTAGTGTTTCAGTGTTGTGAATCAGTGGCAGGTGAGCTGCTAACCGCCTAGCTGAGCTAGCAACTCTTCAGCAAACTGCCCGAACCAACAAACCGCTTAACCAAAGCGTAACCCTGGACACGAAACACACAAGAGAGTCAGCAAACTGTTTACCTCACACAAAACATCCGTTTGAGTCAGTTATCTCGCTAGGTTCTGGTTAGCAGCTGACTTAACGTTAGCCGGATGCTACGTTAGGAACTCAAAGTCAAACAGTCAGTTAGCTCGTTAGCTGGCTTACAACAACATCACCAACCGTCGTTATACTAATTTTTACTATTATTGTTGTAAAATCATGAACCCGATCGTCATCCTCATCGGCGTCTCGTTCAGATGGAAAGGTAAAGGTGAATCGACTCACCTGTTCAGCGGCGGCTGAGATATCCACAGATGAAGTGAGTGAACCCGGTCAGAGAGATGCGGAGATTTACACGATCAGGAAAATAAAATATTATATTCCCCAAGATATGGATGGATCCCACTGGAGCTCTTCAGCGGGCTGTCTGTGTGTGTGTCCCGATCCTGAGTGACTGTTCGCCGGGTTCAGACAGCCGTCCGCCGCTGATCTGCGCTGGGCGGGGTCAGTCTGACACGAGCGCTCATTAATTATTCACAACATTAACAATCTGTCTGGGAGGAGCATTCACAACACCAGCCAATTAATATAGAGCGAGAGAGAGCTAATTAAATATATTAATATGCATATTAATTCTGTGTGTGTGTGTCTGTGTGTGTGTACTGGTTTATATATCCTGGTGGGGACTTAAACCTGACTACACACAGACTCATGGGGACTCGTGTCACGGTGGGGACCTAAATTGTGGTCCCCACGGGTACAAAAGCTTATAAATCATACAGAATGAAGTTTTTTGAAAATCTAAAAATGTAGAAAGTTTCCTGTGAGGGGTAGGTTTAGGGGTAGGGTTGGTGTAGGGCAATAGAATATACGGTCTGTACAGCAGAAAAACCATTACGCCTATGGAGAGTCCCCACAAGGATAGCAAACCAGACGTGTGTGTGTGTGTGTGTGTGTGTGTACAAAAGTACAGTTAAGCATATTATAAGACAGACAGAGTAGTTCTAAAAAAAATAGCCTTATGATGAAACCCTATGGTGACAATTTCTACAGCCTTAATGAACAGGAGAAGATTCGCAATGAATATGAATGAAGTCATAAAAACTGCATGTATGCTATTTAAACAATACTTTAAAATGACTCAAATTAATGCCGTTAATTGATTTCAATTTTATTTTGTGATTCCAGAGGTTATGTTTTGTTTTTCAAAAATAATTAAATAAAAAAAAGCTATTTGAGGGAAAATTGCGTTCTTCAATAAAAAAAATTGTTATTGAGGAAAAATAAAATTATGATTTTTCGGTAAAATCTTGATTTTATGCTTTTTTAGCATTTTAATTTTAGTTAAAAATGTATTTTACTATATTAATAATAAATTATTGAATTACATGACTTTTTCCACAACTATCTCTTATTTCAGTTTGAAAACATTTTTCTTGTTTTGAAACATTTATTGTATTTTAACAATAATTTGTTATGGCCAATAGACTAATTAACATGCTTGCTGACATATAAATCTACTTTTTTATGTTCACAGTAAAGTTCCAATACAGAATAGTATGTTTCAAAACCAAGCATCAAAACATTAGAATATGCAGGAGTTCAGAAGATGGATAATAGTTTAACACTTCCGTATCCTGACATAGAAAATGAATATCTGAACTGAAGATGAGTCCATATGTCATCTGCTTCCAATATCAGCCGAATCAAACAGATAATAAAAATGCAAAGATTTGCAGATACTTCTACAGTCACGCGTATTGCACACATCCATCCCCATGGCTGTACAACAGCAAATGTTCTTCTAGACTTCCAAGAAGACCGGTATGAAGTTTTGAATCAGCAACACACAAAAGTCTATCCTATGATTGCAGCTCTTTTAAAAGAAGATGTGCAATATAACACAGCAGCTCTTCCAGATATCTCTGGTCTTCAGAAGGCATGGCATGGCTCACTGAGGAATGCATGGAATGCTCTCGCAGCTCTACAAAGCTGTCAAGCCTGTTGTGCTGCGAAGACAAGGCCCCGTTTATCACCTGTCTCTGCCTTCATTATGTGACTGAGCTCAGTCGCTGCCTTCAGTCGTTTATGAAATGAGGAGCTATAAGGAGCACAATGCTAATGTGTCTGTCACATCGGACACATACAGTACTGTATGTCCAAGTATGCGATAGTGAGCTGCTGGCGAGACACATTTGATCCATAGGTCACAATGCCCTTAGTGTTGACCTTTAAATATCAGACCATCAACATGTTGACAGACTGTAGGGACACTGTTTACTGACTGGAATATAAGTCACAGGCAAGAAGCATAAGTTCATGAATACAAACAGAGAAATATTCTTTCTGATAGTGATGTTATTACAGGTGCATCTCAATAAATTAGAATGTCGTGGAAAAGTTCATTTATTTCAGTAATTCAACTCAAATTGTGAAACTCTTGTATTAAATAAATTCAATGCACACAGACTGAAGTAGTTTAAGTCTAAATCATCACAATTAAAAGAACCAAAGACTTAAACTACTTCAGTCTGTGTGCATTGAATTTATTTAATACACGAGTTTCACAATTTGAGTTGAATTACTGAAATAAATGAACTTTTCCACGACATTCTAATTTATTGAGATGCACCTGTATGTTATTGGTAGGCTAGGGCTAGGCTATTACATAAAACTATTTCCGTGAACACATTTGTGAATATATTGGCTGATTTTACTTTTAGTCAAAGTGTTTATACAAATATTAAACGTGTGTCTTCCTTTCTGTTTTCAAGGCAGGCTCCTAAAGCGTTTGTTATCTATTCTACAAATGTCTGATCGTGAAATTGGAATCTGTTGATGTAACGCGTATTTTGACGAAGTGTAATGTGTATTTGTGATGAAGGCCTGGCACCTGGTGGCCGCTTAGTGCATTATAGCCTACTAACTTCAATTACGCAGTGTGCAGTTTGAAGTATGTTATATCCTTACAACATATTAGGCCAATACTTCCACTACTGCCTTTTTCACATTAGCACTTGACTTATTAAATACATAATCTGCAGTTTGTCAACATAAATAGAACATTTAGCAAGCCTACCTTTTCACACGAATCTCCTTTACAGTGGCAACTCCTTGTAATTCTACATAATACATGTAAATCAGACATACTTGTCTTGTGTAAAACTTAAAACTGCCGCAAAGATAATTAGTGATCCAGCACGTTGATGCTATTGAAAACACTTGGTTCCGCAAAGTAAAAGGCACACCTTAGCCTTTTTATGTAGATCATTTTCATTGTTATTCATTGAAAAACATGTCTGTTCAATGAATATCGCAGGTTGTGGCAATTGTAAATCAATCTGCATGGGGAAAAATGTCTTACTGGTTAAGAAATGTTTTTTGTTTTATAACAAACACATAATTTTTTTTCTGTTGTATAAAGTGTTGATGCTTTTGATATTAAAATAATTATAGAAATCAAATTTACCTAAATAACTTTGACAAAATATTACATTTTTCTGCCTAGACAGCTTTTTTTTTTTACCACAAATACCATTACACACTCTTCAGTAAAATCACTATTTTATTTTATTTTATTTTATAGATTCTAATTTGCTATATATATCTGTAACACACACACACACAAAAAAAATTAAATCAAAATAGTGCAGAATCATATTTGATAGGCCCGGCGAGGTAGAAGTGGCCTGAACACGATTTCTGCCGAGGGGTCCCGAGTCAATATGCTGTACAGGGGACCCAAAAAACCATAGCGGCACCCCTGTTTGTATGTATAAATTTGTTTAGCCCCATATACTGTATAAATTCATTATACTGAATGACTATTATGCTACATTTCCAAAAATACAACTACATTTGTTACATTTCATTCATACACTGTACTGTATTTTACAAATGTAATGCTTTAAATGTCTATCACTGCATTCTGTTTTCAATCTGCAATTACACTGCAATGACTCTTTGTGACTGTTTTACTGTAGCACACAAAGACAAACTCAAGATTTTTGGGATTGTTGCCTTTTTTGTTTGGTGGTAGTCTTTATTTTTCAAACAACATAACTGCTTCCTAGCACATGTTCAAAATGAAAAATGGTTTTGCTTCAAGTAAATACAAAGTTTGAAAAGGCAAATGAATAAGACAAGAGGAAAAACAGTCTTTGGGCTTGACATGTTCGCAGATGCCGTTTCATTGTGCAGTACCATGCAGAATAATAGTTCATTAAAATCGCTTTACACCTCATTTAATGTGACATCTCGATGCTTTTTTGATTAAACATTAGGTTATTTCATTGTGATGTTAGCCGTGGGTTCAGTGGATCTTTCTGGAGCCGTTTCTGTCCTTCTTATCGTCATCTTCAAGTAAACCAGTGCACTACAGCTGATCTTTGACTGTCGTCTTAGAGCTGACCGTTTCCACCGTATATGCAGACTCATCTCACTTCATCCCAATCTAATACTGAACAAATCACCCGGAAACCACTCAGACCTTCATCTCTCAGTGAGAATGAGGGAATATACAGGTTATGGGTCGGAAAGGTAGTCAAAGGCATTTATATACATATCTGTTTTTTTGGGAGGTTTTTTTTTTAGTCCTTAACACAACATTCAACAAAGCACTCCTGTCACCATGCCGTGTGAGCTCCATGGCCTTGTCCGAAAACGTGTTCAGGCTTCGATTTGGCAGGCGAAATGTCGCTTCTCCCTCTCCAGCTATTCCACGCTAAGGATATGAGGTCAGATGTTTTGGACAGGGTCATGTTCGATTGGTTTGAGAGCAGCACCTTCAACTAAAACAGTGTGCAAATGTTTTCCTCTGGCTCCTACAGCACCTGGAGCTCAGCAACCTGACTAAACTCCTCCCCTTTCCCCGCCTTCCCTGCCAGCTCTCAGAGTCAGGTGACCAGCTGCGGCTCCCAGGATTGGCTGGCCACCTGGGGGCGGCACTGTGCGACGAGCGGCGGGCCTGAAGGAGGCTGGCTATCCAGACACAAGCCGCTGATCATGTGCTGCAGCGCTGGACCTCTGGGCTTCCATTTCTACAGAGGGACGGAGAAAAAAAGTGAGGATGGGTTCATTACATTTATAGTAACACATGCAATTGCTGTAGACAAACATCCCACAGATAAAGCACAGAACAGGGTGGAAGAATTGCTCTTCTTCTTCTTCTTGTTCATGAATTTATCAGCGAAAGAAAACAGAAACCCCTTATAATGGTCGTCTGAGAAGGTCAAACTAAATATTATGTATCTCACTTTACATTTATTTTGTACGTTGTTTGCCATTTTTGCAACCTTGTTATTAGAATTTGAGGCATGTCTGAAAAGAGTTTATAGAGTGAATTTGTTATGTTCAATTAGGGTTATAACCATTAACTAAAACTGAAACAATAAATGCATTTTTCTGTCACAAATGTATAAATTTCTCTCTCAGTATTACTTCTATCACAAAATATAGACGGACACCGTGCTGCGTTGTCACGGGAACATCCCAGCTGAAGATAATAAGGAAATTACGTCGCTCCCTTTGCCAAGTGCATTCAAACGACTACATAATGGCACGCACGTGCCCTGCTCACTCCAAGGGCTCTGCCCTTCAAAGGCATAGGGATGATCACTTCCATTTGGAATTTTCGAATACGTGTACCATTACACCCCTATAATTTATGATGAATACTAAAACGTGATAGGGAAAAAAAAAAAAGAATTTTTGTGACAATGGTCAGAACTCCTGTTATGATGGATATGTTTTGAGGTGCACTATTGTCATAAATTAATCTATTACTGTTCCTACTTAACTGTAACAGTAAAACTTAGGTGCTAGGTGGCGGGACAGTGACAGTTAAGGGTTAAAGAAAAACAAAAACTAACAATGACAAAAACACAACAAAATGACTAAAACTTCAACTAAAATTAAAGCCAAAACAAAATATTAAAATAAATTCTAACTCAAAATATTAACAAAAACTAAAATAGTATATCAGTGATAGTAATATATATATATATATATATATTTCTTAAGTATATAATACATCTACTTTGTGTCATACGTGGATTTTCTATATATGGAGTAATTTGCATAACCTACAATCATCAACTACTACTATCAACAACTATCTCCTTCAAATATCTCCTTCACTTGTAGAACATTTTTACACAAAACTGGAATAAAAATGCAAAATAACTGTTTCTTTCCAAACATTGACAAATGCTGCAAAATATAGAGTGACTGTAAAATGTCAAATTCAAAGAAACATACAGAGAAGCAACATTCTGAACAGAAAGCAACCTTATAATGAAATGAATGTTGTAGCCAAGGGCATGTCTTGTGTGTGTGACTGCGTGTGACTGTCCCTGCGTTCCATTCGGAAGGGCTCATCCGATATATCCCATTTGGAACGCACCGTGAGTGTGACTGCTTTTAGTTTAGAGTGAGGTCAGTGAGTCTGAATTCAGAAGGCTTGATATATACTCTAATATCCTGTGTGTGTGTGTGTGTGTGTGTGTGTGTGTTTGCTGGAAGCGTGGCAGCAGGTTTCATTCAGGAGAGCGATGATCTCAATGCCAAACAGCTCTGTTCCAAACCCTATAGTGAGTCGTTTTCTGAACTAATGCCAACATAGAACAGCAGTTTAACTGAAATGAATGCTTATAACTGACTGTAGACACTCTACATATTCAGCGCTCCTCACTACTGTGAGCCAGCCTTATTTCAGTATCACTGACATACTATTATTGTTGTGTTACTATTTTGAATGATCTGAATTCCTTTTAATTCCAAACGAAATGATTGCATCTCATTACATTAGCTTTGTACAGGTATGTTAACCTTGAATGCTCAAAAATATTTGATAAAACATATGCAAACATGAAAATAATGTGGCGTGTTGCAGTTACAATGGACATTATGCATGTATCAATGAATTTATTTTTATATTTTCTGTTTTAATTACAATTTTTAGTTGAAGTTTTTGTGAGTGTGTGTGTGTGTGTTTGTCATTTTCATTAGTTTTTTATTATTTTCTTATTTGTATTTTTTTAAGTTTCAGTTTTGGTTATTTCAGAATATCAAGTTAAACCAATTGAAAATGTTGCCTTGTCAACTATCTGAAATAAAAGAAGATTAAAGTTTTTTTTTTTTTCAGTTAATGTTTGTCAATGAAT